TACATGTCATCTTGAAATGGTGGAAGAGTAAATAGCAGGAACAGCCAACGCAAAATGTGCCAGCTATTAGACTGAAACAAGACTCAAAAGACAGCCTCAGATTATTGCTGTCTGTGGAGAGGGGGGACAAACTGTTCTTGTTTTGATAATGATTCTTGGAAATGGGTTATTTGTAGCAATATGAAGGCCCATTTAACTTGGAAATTAAGAGACTAGTGAAGCTAGACATAGACCAGCTTTGGACAGTGAATTACTTAAGGTGTGAAGGAAACACCCTAAACTACCATAGGAAATTAAAACATGGCGTTGCCTATTGAAAGTATGAAAATGGGTATAGACCTAAAGAGAACCCAAATAAGCAAGTATTTAAATTCACAATTATATCTATTTCAAAAGATTTAGAGAACCTAAGAATCAATTTTCTTTCACTCCACATTGTTGCTAACACCAGTAAATAGAACTTAGTGATAAGGAAAATTCCTATTGATTTTAATTTCTTACAGCTAAGTGTCTAGAAATTACACAGCACTTGCTCAGATCTCTATCGTGGATTTAATAGTGCTAGCAATATCTTGGCTTTCATAGTAGACCTCCCTCTGCACAGTAAAATCACTTGGCACAACTATTTAGAAAGTAGTTTCCTTTTAGTATACCACAGAAAAGCTTCTGTGTCACGGTGGAAAATTTACAGTGTAGAAGATGAAATGTTTCTCTATGAGATGGGAGAAATAAATAGGTTCTGGGTTCACGCATTAGCTTTGGAGGTTTTTCAGAAAATGTGATTTTGAATTCCCAGAGGTTTGAGGTTGAAAAAACCTTTTCTATTGTTGAGTAAAAAACATAGGAGAAACAGACAGAAACTGCTGTAGAAATATATTGTTTGTATTACTTTAAATGGTAATTCAACAGGTATGTTCGGACTTCTAACTGAAACACATGGTATTGGAAGTCACTACAACCAAAGCATATAGTTCATTCTTTTAAAACTATAAACTGAATTTGAAAAGGCCTTTTGCATAAAATCGATAAAAAACTATACTGTAAATGCACCTACTGCTTTATATGCATATATCCGGAGAACTGATAATTGGAATACCTCTAACTGTTCACATATTAGAAGAACACTAAAATTATTTTAAACATAAGTGACCTACCAAGAAAATTCCATATAATGGAGTGATCCTCCTGTTCAAGAAATTACTGACTTAAAAGGAGGTGGACTGATTTACATTGTCTCTAGAAGTGACTCATCTGGTGTATAAACTCTAATACACAGATCTATGTTGAAAGCAATGTGCTTAATTTTATGGGAATGTGTAATTGGCAATGATTCATACTTTTCACAACAACAAAATCAAATTAAGTCAAACATAGGCACTGCTCTCTGCCTCTGGCTTGGATCCCCTGCAACTTCTGCCTTCAAAGGTTTGGCTCTGAAATGCTATTGCTCCTTTCTAAGGGGTGTGATGGGAATGTGTATTATGCAATTGGTTTCTTTGCAAATCACACTTTTATCTCTCACAAGCAACAAGAAGATTATACTTCAGGGTTTAATTTTAATTAAATGCTACAGTTGAATATTGGATTTTACAAAGGTGCTGAACAAAGACCAATGTTTTTTGTTGTAGCTTCAGCTTAATTTTAAAACAGGTTTATTAGAATACATGTTTTACTGTTTAAAATGAATACAGAAATAGTTCAGTCCAATAAACTTAAGCTGATGCAAGTCGTCTGCATACACAAAATATAATATGTATACCATAGGTGCTGGGCTTGTTTATGATTTCGTTTTTAGCTCTCATCAGACATACAAATAATAACTGACAAAGTACATTCAGTTGAAAAGATCCTAGGAGTCAGAAGCAGAGAAGATTTCTCGGGGGCATTCTAAGAATGACTGAGGGTTCTTGTTTTGTTTTGTTTTTTTTAAGTCCCAGTTCAACTAAAAGAGACTAAGTTAAAGGAGGAAACTCTGGGAATTCTCATAGGTAGAGAAGGGTTGATGATCACTCACACCATAGAATTTTTCCCATCACATTTTGTGCTTTGGCTTACAAAAAATAAGCAGTTGTTCTAAAATGTGCTGTCCTCTGATAAATTCAAAGATAAAATACAATGGTAAAAAAATTATAATAATGTTGTGGGTTATCTGTAATGTCTCCCTTAATAAGCTTTGAGACTTCCTGACAAAAAGGTACTACCTAGCCAAGACTGTTCCAGTCTATAAGATGAGTTCATATGGGGTTCTTTTCCAGAAAGAAAGGAATAATAAATCAGTAAAATAGTATGTAATGAGGGAGGCTATCACAACCATGCAGCACCCCTGCAGGAATGGTCTTGCAAACTGATGATCCTAAACATTGTTCACAAAAATCACAAATTTTAGAATTTTTAAGGTGCAGGGGAAACCCTTCCTTCATCACCTCTCCATTCCACTGAACTCCATAAATTGAAAGCTGTTGTCAGATGTAAAAAGTACTGTCTCTCCACAGTATCTCTAACTTTGCTTACATATTAATGATATTAATGTGGGCTTTTATTCCCACAACTCTCTATGATGCTTCTAATACTGCTGAGCCAAGTGCATATTGACACATATCTTTTTTGCAGTTTTAAAAATAAAGAAGCAAGTATAAAAGCTCAGTGGCAAGGCTACTTGAAGCCAACACCCTAGCTCTTTCCTTATCATACAGCTGTATGTGAACTTTGATTCAACCATGTATCTCAAGCATTGTTTGTCTGTGCCAAAAGGCATCACAGGACTGCAAGTGTTTGTGATAAATCTCTACAGCTAAGACACCTCAAAAGATCATAAGAGTTATTTAGATTTCTATGGTATACATCCTAGGAATAAGATGGGCCTTTCAGTCACAATGACTGAATGAGTACCATGTTATCCTCTGGCCCCTGCTTGAACTGAATGTCTTTAGCTGAGCTGCAGTCTGACAATATGTGTTTGAGTGGACACACACATGTATAGATAGACATATTTATGGAAAGTTGTTAAGGCTCTCATAAGAAACAACTTATTAATTCTAAACACAATGTTTAAAATTATTTGTTGAATTTGTCCTTCTTAATCAGCTCTTTGAACATTATGTGCTTAATGACTCATTGCCTTTAGGGTATATTGTTCAAGGTATCATACTCCTACAACCTCCTCAGCCAGACTGTACTGCCCACAGTGTGCAATGGTGTTGACAGAAAAGCCTTAAAGGAATCATGAAAGCTTGAGAAGGGATTACAGCACAAGAGAAAATCTTGGAGTCCAGTCTGTAAGTTTCTTGGGATAATCCCTCAGATTCCATGAAAATAACCAAAATGCTCCAGAAGTCAAAAGAACAGTGCCAATTTGAACCAATTGAGATTCTGGCTCTTTATTTGTGATGAAGGGAGAAACTGATGATTTAGGTTTGAGGTACAGGTGCCTACAGTTGAAAAATCATTTTTTAAGAAGCTGGTAGTAAAGATATCCAGAGATTGAGCTATACAATACACCTTTCCACTGCTGGTTTGAAAAAGTATCTATGCTATTGACTTTTGACATTACAACTATGATGGCAGGGGAAAAAGAAATTGTTAACGTCCCAATTAGAATTCCAGAAGCAAAAATATGCAATTACGTTTTTGTCACAGTACAAGAAATGTTCAATCATGTCTAAGCAGACCAGCTTGGATGCATGCTTTTTATTAGGCAACAACACAAGCAAAGCTATACCGTTTTTTAACAGAAGTCTAAGTCCTTCAGTGGAATGGAAGTGCACATTTATTGTTTTGCAGTGTTTCTTTTCACAGTTTTTCATTCTGGACTTATGCAGTGAAGTGGAAAAATCAAGCAGAGTTCTTGATTCATGTTAACATTTACAGCACTTACTTAATGGAGGGGTAAAATAAGTAATTAAATATCACAATGAATTAGTAGACATGGCAAGAAGGATTTTGAATGTGATTTATTTCTTAACCACGTCTTTCTGCTCACCTCCTTCAGGCTTGACTGGTCCATCAGACATCACTTTCCTGAGGGCTAGTTGGCTTTGGTCTTTGTTGTCATTGGCTGGTGGAGGCAGATTGTCAGACTGAGTTCTTTGAATAGGGAGGACTCCTGCTATGCTGTGTCTGTGCTGCTTCCTGGCATGATTAGACTGACCGCTTTTATGTGCTGCTGTGGCAGTGTGGGTGAAATGGAAACCCAGAGTATGTATCCTCAGATGGAACCAGCTTAAATGTTATTCATGCAAACAGAAGTGTTTTTTTCTGTATTTAAGTAAGTAGTGTTTTCAAACACCAAAGAGACACCACATGCACAGCATTAAAGAGTATTAAAACTGGCTGTTTCTTTATTAATGATGGTGAAGACAAGGGAAATTATTTTCCCCTGTTTTTCTGCGTTATACCATGGTAACTTTATGGCATATCAACAAATCCTGAAGACAAACACAATATTTCCACAATCAGAGAGTTTTAATTTGCTATCAACTAAACCATCAATTAGCAATCAGACATGGGTCTGAATTATATTCTGGAGAGCAACCTTTCTGAATGGAAAAGTTTTAATTTATCAATCTATTTCAAGCTGTCAGATGAAATCTATCTTGACTTTAATCAATCCATGGCACAAAAATTATTAGAAGAATGGAATTGACTATGTCATCTGACTTAGCTCTCTACTCCCTTTGACTTTGCTAACTTGATACACTGTTGAAATCTGATGGCTTTTGTGTGTTTAACAATTTTGTATTTAATGTGTTAAATGTTTTTGTCTACTGCTGTTTGTTGGCTGAACCCAGGACACTGTTCTACTCATCACTAATATATTATCTGAGATAGAAGGTTGCTTTATATTTCCTTAAAAAAAAAAAAGATATTTACAGTCGTGTTTCAAAAATAGAAATCTCAACCATGTAGTTAAAAAACCTTTTTTCTTTAACTAAATCTTCTTTTGTGTATATAGTACTTTCCTTCTTGATTACTACTTATATTTTGTCTTAATGTGCTCTCAGCATTTGTGTGCAACTTGAAGAACTGGCAGCCACATCTCTGCAGGTTTTGATTATTTCATTGGTAGTGACATCAAAGTGACATCAAAGCACCACCACACAATGGAATTCTCTGTGAGTCATGCACAACCATGGAACATCATGAACCATGAGTGAAGGGACTGATGGAGAAACAGCCAGTTTCACTGCAGTCTACATAAATTAAAATAAATAAATAAATAAAAGACTTCTAAATACGAGAGTATATTGTAATTATATGTATTCACACACAGGCACACAAAGAAAGACACTGAACAGAGTGAGCACAGTGTGCCAAGAACAGAAAAGAAAGTAGCCGAAAAGGGAAGGACAGCAGGGAAAAAGGCAACAGATGAACATTAAGCTGCCATGCTGAGGAATTTATTTGCGTCTTTTACTTGGTTGAAGGCGAAGCTGTTGGACAGCTGCTTCAGCAGCGGCGATGGCTGCCCCAGCGTCTTCGAGGTGAGTTTGAGTGACACTGGTTTTGCTTTGGCTGCGAGATGGACCGTGAGAGCGTAGATGTCCTTCGGAGGAAGACTTGGAACTCCCTGGACTGCTGTGGGATTTCTCAATGGTGGGCACCTGCATATCTACCAAGAAAATAAAGAAGCGCAACTGCTGCATTTATTAAAACCAAACAATTACATTTTCTTTCTAGCTGCATTCCAGGACAAGGAATAAGGTTAAGCTGTGGAATGCCATTCAAAGCCTTGGGATATATCATGAGTAGAAAACTCTTATGAAGCACAATTTTCTACTTACCCACTCTTTCCTGGCCTAGGGAATAATTAATTTATTATTGGTTTTCTGTCACCTATGTATTATACTTCCTGTGCTAGTTAACACTGGTGGAATAACAGAGTAGCCTAAAGACTAATTTGTTTTCCAGTGTCTACATCTCTAGTATGGAGAGACTAAATAGCACCACTTACACCAGTAACCAAATACTAAGCTAATGCATGCAGTTTTATTCTGATTAATGCCCTGCTCAAAACCATAGCCTAACTTACAATAAATTTTTGACTAACCTCTTAATTAGACATAGACCTTATATAGACACAAATCCTAAGCAAAACATTAACAGAGAAATAGAGAGGAGATGAAACAGAGTCTTAACACTCTGAAGGTCTTATCTGGGTGCTATCTGGGATAGCTTTTGCTTTGATATTTATTATATAGACTGTGTTTTAAGTGAGCAACCCGCCATTGACTACTTAGAAGCAAAAAAAAAACAACCCCAAAACCCTGGAAGATAACGTTTCTTGGAGCAGGAGAGACTGAGATCAATTCTGCATTAGTAAACACCAGTATAATCCTCTTATATCAGCTCCACTGATTTCCAATACAATTGAGATATGCTAGAGCCATTATCGTTGACTGGAAATGCTTATGCATTATTATAGCATAATTGTTATACTATAAAATATTAATGTGACACTTCCAGAAGATATAATGCCATAGAATATCTAATGAACATTAAAAAAAATAGAAAGCTAAATATGTATTGAATTTGGCCAAGGCTACCAGAAAAATGAAAGTGGCACAGAATCTATCGTAGTTGTGCAAAACACAACAGCTTATAAACTGCTTTTTTAAGGTCGGAGTTAGTAAACTAGTTTGCTCACATGAAGTCAAATTAATCCTTGGTTCCCATTAATTAATCAATCACAGAGATAAATGTTTTTAATAAAAGTGTATACAAACTTCACAGTAGTAACTTTATTTTTCTATTATAACTTACACATGGCAAAGGTTTTCCCATCATCTGGGAAAACATTTCATAAGAGCTGCACCAAGCCATTCCTACCCTTGGAAGGGTCCGGGAAGATTCCATGACTTCTGCTTTTGATGACAGATGGTTTTGGAGATTGCTGGCTACTCTGTCCAGAATGAGATTTCCCATGATCAGTGTTTTCACTCTGTTCCTTCAGGGGGTACCACCGAGGAGTGTTGTCAAGCTGAGAGACACTGGATAATTCGATCAATACCTACAAATAAATCAAAAGTACTATATATGGCCTGTATCTGATCTAATAACAGCAGAAGAGTCTACAGTTGTGTTACCAGACCATGCAACCAAATCTAAGAAATCAAGGGCATAAGGCTGTATGCTAACAGGTCCAGGACCCTCTGTCCATACTATGACCTCACCTCATATAAATCAGCTGTGATCCTGATCCCAAACCCACATTTGTTAGTGTATCAGTGTGTCTGAACTAATACACCTTCTCAGCAGGACCTCTGTAAGGATTATGAGTTTAGACACAGCTCCATACCGAGATGGCTAAGGAGGTGATCCTGCCCCTTTATTCTGCTCTCATGAGACCTCACTTGGAGTATTGTGTACAGTTCTGGTGTCCTCAACATCAAAAGTACATGGAACTTTTGGAACAAGTCCAGAGGAGGGCCACGAGAATGATCAGGGGACTGGAGCACCTCCCATATGAAGATCGGCTGAGAAAGTTGGGGCTGTTCAGCCTGGAGAAGAGAAGACTGCATGGAGACCTCATAGCAGCCTTCCAGTATCTGAAGGAGGCATATAGGGATGCTGGGGATGGACTCTTCATTAGGGACTGTAGTGGTAGGACAAGGGGTAATGGGTTAAAACTTAAACAGGGGAAGTTTAGATTTGGTATAAGGAGGAAATTCTTTCCTGTTAGGGTGGTGAGGCACTGGAATAGGTTGCCCAGGGAGGTTGTGAATGCTCCATCCCCGGCAGTGTTCAAGGCCAGGCTGGACGAGGCCTTGGGTAATATGGTTTAGAGCGAGGAGTCCCTGCCCACTGCAGGGGGGTTGGAACTTGATCTTAAGGTCCTTTCCAACCCTAACTATTCTATGATTCTATGGCTAGATAAAGGGTAGCTTTAAAACACGAGTTTGAGAGCTAGACTAAAAAAGACATATGGTCATTTTGTCTCTGTATAAACGTGTTCTAAGATAACCAGTGTTGTTTTATCCTTCTGTACTTGCTGATTCTTTAAAACAATCCACATACTGAGAATCTGTAGCAAAAAGAAAAGAATAGGAATACCTTGGCACTTCACTAAAATAATGGAATTCAATAGGCCATCCAGGCCTTGAAACTTCACTGGCAAAAAAAGAAAGGAAGACGCAATGGCAATGCTAAAATTAAAAAAAATGGGTACAAATGCCCTAACACTGTAGCTAAAATCTGCCCTAGGTCACCTGCATTGTTAGCAGGAATTCTGTGAAATTTCTTTAAGAAAAAAGAAATAAAAATAATGAGCATTGGGACCAATAAAGACCCTTTCTCCCTTTAATGGTCTTATAGTTAAGTGATGCAAAGGACTAAGGAGTCATAATAGTCTTTAATGAAGGGAAGGACAAAAACAGTCTTGCATTTGGCTCTGAGGTGAGAGGATTAAAGCTAATGTCACATAGGGAAGTTTTAAAACTGCTAGACAAATAAAGTGTGCAATTACCTCATGGAACAATGTTTATTGCAAGACCTTATATAAAAGAAAACATCTTCAAGTTTAGGAATGGGGAAGTCTCTTCACAACTGATTGCTTCTAAAAGGTTAAATGCCTTTTTTATTTCAGCTTCATAGGTTGTATATGACCTGCTTTGGTCTTTCTGGTTAGGTCTATACTTAATCTGAACAGAATAACTATTTAGCATGCTTCCTGTTGCAGTTTTTGGTCATAACTTTGGAAATGACTTGGAAGACAGTATGACTGACAGTGTTCCCAATAGGCAGTATAGGCTGAGGGTTCAGCTTTGTAGAAGTGGTTTCATGTTCCATGGATGTGAACCAAGATGTGCCACTTGCCTTTTGGTGCAAGTGGTGCTGGGCCTATTCAAGTAAGTACTTAGGGCACAGTTTGGATATCCCATATTTGATGTTATGGTACAGGATTCCTCTGGACATTCTGGTCGTTAAATATACTGGATAGTCGTTTCTGTTCCTTTTTTTGATGAAAAACTGTTTTCATATTTAAGTCTGAATTATTTAATAAATAAAATAGTTCTAGAGGTTAGAAATATTTGTAGGCAAAAGTGTGAACCTTCCTGTAAAAGCAGCTGCAGATCATTCATTTTCTAAATGTCAATGATATAGATATTCAGTAAGCCCTGCATTTGGACAAACATGCTGAACTCAACAAGAATACTGATGCAGAATGCAGGAAATAAGTAATCATGTAGCTGCTTCCTATACATTTATTTTAGTAATTGCTCAAATAGTGACACTGATTGCTCAGTTTTTGTCGTTACAAAGAGTAACTGGAGCTGAACTGAGTGCCTACTTTGGGAAATTCAAATGCAGAATGAAGCAGAGACACTTTGAGATACTTTCTGAGTGACCAATTTTCCTGGGCTTCTGTTTCTAATTATAATCCTCTTCTGTGATAACATTTTAATTACTTTTTGACATCATAGTTATTGCTGCTAATTCAGTACTATATGTGCATATGTTTGTTTATTTGCTTTTAAGAGAGAGCGTTTTTCTTCCCACAGTCATTCATCTAATTTATTATTTATTTCAAGATTTTGCATTCAGTCGTAATTTGATAAAGATATTACTATTTTGTAGAGTTAAAAATGAGACCTTTATCATTAAGATCAAATTATTCATAGTTGTAAATACTTGTGCATATGCTAAATTATGGTGTGATGGCAAAATGTAATTCTTTAATCTTTTACAAAGACTGACACTTCTTCAGCTTTTCCATGGTATGTTAAAATCAAGGCAAACAGCTTATCAGTCATAACAAGAATTCCCCATTCAGTCACTGTAAGGTCTACTACTATCTCAGGCTCAAAAAAATTATAATTATATTCATTGAAGCTACATTTTGCTGAGGCCTAAATGAACTTGTCCACAGTTTATTGAGATAAAAGAATGGCATCTTTCATATGTGAATGAAAGAAATTATAATAATTTGTTATGAAGTCAGCAGTAAAAGTGTGATGTAAAAAATGTTTCACTTAACATATGTAGCATACCTTGAAAGAGAGCAGTCTCCAAATACCATAGCATGTAGTCAATCAGCTTTCTAACTAGTCAGGATTAGAGAGGAGGAAATAAGTTACTTACTTCACCAAGGAAGTCATTCGAGGAGAATCTATCATAATCCCAGACAGTCACTTCCAGTGTTTTCTTTTTCAGCTGCAAATTAAGCCAAAGGATAGTTAGCCCATTGCCATCATAAACTTCAGATCAAGTCTTTATGGTGGTTTCTATTCATTACCT